CCAATTTGTAGTATGTGTGAATGGTGGTGCGAGACATTCGATGATATATATATAAATATGATCGGTCGTTCTACGAGAAATTCTATTTATATATATGCATAACGTGTACAATATGTAGTATCATAAAATATCAGCAAATAAAAAAAAGGAAAACACAAAATTAAAGGAAAAATAAATCATAAACCCAAAACCCTCCTAAACCTTTAGTATCTGTTGGTATGTCAAACCGGTACTAAAGGTCTCCCAGCCCCCGGCCCTCGCCCCTGCCACGTGGTGGCCCTTTAGTGCCGGTTTGTGCTGAACCGAGACTAAAGGGAGGGACCTTTAGTCCCCACCCGTTAGTGCCGATTGCCCAACCGGCACTAAAAGCCCTTATGAATCGGTAATATAGCTTTGTTTTCTACTAGTGTAGAACTATGGAATCATGTCAGGGAGATGTTTGAAAGTATAACTCTAGATGGAAAAAATGATAAAATTAGATGGAATCTGATGGGCAATGGAAAATATATTGTTAGGTCATGTTATAGACATTTGGTCCAGATGGGATCACATATCCATATAAATTCATGTGGAAACCAAGATGCTTCCTAGGGTTAAAGTTTTTTATGGCTGCTGTTGAGAGATAGCATTCTCACTAAAAGAAACTTGAAAAAAGAGGATGGCAAGGTGACAGTAAGTGCTTGTTTTGTGGGAGGGGAGAAAACATAGATCATCTCTTCATACGTTATTCTATTGCAAAAATGCTATGGTTGGTTATGAAATGCTCATTTTGTATGCATGATATTCCTGATAGTGTTAATAACATTCTTCCTGTGTGGCTTAGCAAATTTGATAAAAGTGATAGAAGTCTTATGATAGTAGGCATCTCTACGATGCTATGGACTTTGTGGAAGCTTAGAAACAAATTGGTCTTTGATAATATCAGAGCAGTTGATCCCGGTGTGCCGGTGAATCTAATTATTAAAAATTTACATGATTGGTGTGTGCTGCAGATAAACCAAGAAAAAATAAGGAGCATAACGGTTCATGTAAGGCACGTTGAGCGGGTGTCACGGGAGATCTTCAAAGCTGCACATGGCTGGAGGACTAGAGCACCAAGACTGACTACTTCTGGAATCCAAACATGATGAAGATCCTCTGAAGTTCTCTCTACTGCTTGATCTTCCTTTGCCCTCGCGTTGTCTATCTTTTGGACTTGTAATAACATACCAGAATGTGGGTTTAGGGTTTGCCCTTGTGTCTTTATTAGGTGTAGTCTGTTTGATATGAGTTGTTGGAAGGGAGGGAGGGATGGCTTCCACCCTTGTAATAGCGTTGTCGAATGTTTCTATCGATAGTTGAACTGATGTGTGGGGCTTTGTAGTTCCGAAGACATTGTGGTTTCTCTTATATGAAATGGGAGAGAGAACTCTCTTTGTCAAAAAAAATAGGAAGCACCTCTAAGGGAAGTTAGTAGAGCTCACCGGAGAGATTTCTGTCTTTAAGCCGGGAGAAATGATGTGGATAGTGAGGAGTACAAGTGGCACTAGCATTATCCCGAGGCAAGACGATCATTTATGGATTCGAGAATTGGCATAAACACAAATGAGCCTTGTCCAGTGAATCCTGCGTATTTCTTTTGTTTGAGTATAGGCTCACTTGATTGTCGAAGTAAGGATGCATCTAGGGAGCGTCCATGCACTTTACAATCTGTGGGCTCACCAAGGAAATACCCTACTCCTTCTTGGATGTTTTTGTCTCTTAGGTGAGCCGAGTGATTACAATGTAACCCTCCATCCCAAAATAAGTGTCTCAACTTTTGTACTAAAATTAGTGGAAAGTTGAGACACTTATTTTAAGATGGAGGGGGTATCTGTTATCGCCGGTAGCCATCTGAGTATCTTCGTACCTTTTTCTCTCCCGACATCCTCACCTGGAGTTTTTGATGGGTTGGAACAAGATATTCCACCAAAATAACATACAATAAATCACACCCTCCAGCTACCCCTGCCCCCTTCAGATGGATTTGGAAGTTGCGTTGCATGCATAAGCCAAAATATATTCTTACGACGCCTAATCAAGGACAAACTAAATATAAGGGGCCTCATGCCCAGAAAGAATTTTCATTTTATTCATGTTCTTTGCACCAAAAATGTCACTCAAAGCCTCTCACGCCTTTGTTTAAATCATGACTTCAACTACAACTTCTGTGTATCTCTTGGTATACGATGGAACATTGATCTACAACTCCAAGAGACGATATTGAAGTGTATAATAGAAAAAGATTTCACGCCTCAAGGTAATCCTATCAAAGGTTGATGGAGCAAATGGAAACACATAAATGACATCATTTTTGGTAATCACAAATTCTGGATCTTGATCTAAATCATCGCAGTCAATTAAAGATCACTTTCTATGATCTTGGAAAGAGCCAAACCCAACTTGAAAGAAGGCATGCAAGTACGGATTGGCCATTTGTAATTTTGTTTTTTACACCTTCCCAAGGTTTGGCCGACCCATCTATAGTAGGTACAAGCTTTCGGTTTTGGGGATCTTCTAGAAGATTCCCAATGGTTTTTAACGGTTTTGGGAACCTGGTTCCTGGACCGGTTTTTCTATTTCCCTTATCTTTTTTTGCCTATGTTACTTTTTTTGTTTTTGTTTTCTATTTCTTTTTCTTTTCTTTCTTTAATCCTTCTATTTTTTTTAGTTTTTCTTGTTTCTTTTGTTTGAAATTTTCAAATATTTGTTCTGAATTTTAAAAAATGTTCTCGTGTTCAAAATTTTGTTCACAAAAATATTATTTCTTTGAAAATTTGAACACAATTCCAAAAAATGTTCATGTTTCAAAAATTGTCGTTGGTTTCAATACTTGTTCATGATTTCAAAAAAAATCATGTTTCAAAAAATGTTTAGGGATTTAAAAACTGTTCTCGTTTTCAAAATTTGTTCAAGATTTCATAAATATCTTTGTGTTTCAAAATTGTTCTCAATTTCATTATTTGTTCAAGATTTCATAAATATCTTTGTGTTTCAAAAACTGTTCTCGTTTTTGAAATCATGATTTCTTAAATATCTTTGTGTTTCAAAATTGTTCTCATTTTCAAAATTTGTTCATGATTTCATAAATATCTTTGTGTTTAAAAAATTGTTCTTATTTCGAAATTCTGTTCATTATTTCGAAATTTGTTCAAAAAAACTGTTTATTTTTTTTAAAAAAATGTGCAAAGTTAAGAGCAAATTTTGTTCTTCTTTCACAAATAAGGTTCAGAATTTTTCAAGATCTGACGAAATTCTAAATTTTGTTCCTATAATTCAAAAACTATTTGAAAGTTTCAAAGTTTGTTCACATTTCCAAAAATTTCTTCGTGCTCTTGAAAATGTTTTCGATTTTTTTTAGCAATTTGTATGCTACAGTAAATAGGATGCCGGAGTGAACATGACGTTATAATTAAAAACTATTCACTCTACCATCTGTCACTATCGGCCGTAAGGTGTAGTGGCTAGCAACACATGTTAGTTATCCCGACGTCGTGAGTTTGGTTGTTCTTCGCTATATATTGGCCTGCCTTGTTGGAGACGCTCGTGTGCATGAGGCCGACAGTTTGGCGCAGTTAGCGTCCTGTTGATTCTCAAAAATGAAAAAATGAAAAAAAGAGTTAGCGTCCTATAGGAGCTCCCATTTTATAGAGCTGGATGTGTCTTGAATTTTCATGTCATCATCTTTAGCTCGACGTTTTTGCAATCTTGAAGTCCCCCGGAACTTTGCATAGCAACAAAAGAAGAAGTTTTTCTGCGAAAAAGAAGCGAAAAAAGAAGGAGCAGACATGACAAAGCCTCAAAAAACTACTCCGCACGAGTTGTGAGAAGGAGGGAGGAGGAGGCAAAAGCAAAGGCTCTACTGCATTGGGCCGTCGTCCTATATCGTCTCAGCTCGGGCCTGCCGGCCGGGACTAGCAGGGCCGGCCTCTCCTCTCCGGTGGACCGCTTCATTTCTCTCCCTCTCTCTCCGGGCCGCCCGCGATCGTTTCCTTGGAAATTTGGAAAGGAAAAGGAGGAGAGCAGCGCGACCTGGTTTCAAACGCCGCGAAGAACTGATTGCCGAAGCCGTGGCAACGGTCGACTGAGCGAGCGACCAACGGGCAGAACAGAGTCCGTTGGGCTCCGGATCATCCAGTCCACCGCTCTTCCAGGCGGGCCCGGGGCCCACGGTGGCATCTGACCACTGACGATCCCCACCACCCAACGGTCACTTCACTCCTCCCCTCAATAAAAAAACACCTCGCCCAACGGCGTCCTCCCCGGAATCTAGCCGTTGCGCCTCCCCGTCTTAACTCCCTCCGCTTCCTCGCGCATTTCATTCCATTCCATACCATTCCATTCCATTCCCCCGAGAAGATCTTGCCCCGCTCCTCTCCGCTGCGCCGTCCCGAGATGGCAACCGTGGCCAGGTCCCCGTCGCCGGCCGCGGCCAGGCCCTGCCCCGCCATGCGGCGGAGCGCCGACTCCAACCCCTTCAAGCCCGCCGGTAATTTCCCTTGATTTCTGCTGGATTTATTCTCTCGTTGCGGCGGCACCCTCGATTCCCCCTTCTCGATTCGGTGGTTATGGCACGCCAGCTCTGACTGAATGCCCCGTCCCTCATCCGCAGATTGCCCCTCGCAGAGGAGCTCCAGCTCCAAGGGCGGCGGCGGCGGCTGCGGGTGCCACCACGCCTCCTCGCCCTCGCCGCGGCGGAGGTCGCTCTCCTCCTCCTTCGGGGAGAAGGAGAACGAGCCGCGGGACCACGCGGCTCGGACCCCCAAGCCCGCGGCGCGCTCTGGCGGCCCCAAGAACTTCATGGCGCCCACCATCTCCGCCGCCTCCAAGGCCGCCTCGCCCAGGAACAGCACCAGCAAGGTGCTCGGGGAGCGCAACCACGACACGCCCCACCTCGCGCCCTTCTCCCCCGCCAACCTCGCGCACAAGCCCAAGCCCGACCCGCGCCGCCTCCGCCTCTCCTTCGACGCCCCTCCCGCTCCCGCCGGAGACGACGACGGCGCGGGGGTGGAGGATCCCGTGCGCGCGGAGCGCAGTCTGCGGCACTCGTTCGAGGCACCTCCCGCGCCCGCCGCATGGCACGGCCCGCTCGCTGGAGACGACGACGACGACGCGGGGATGGAGGATCCCGTTGGCGTGCGCGTGGGCGTGGGCCACCAGCTCGCGGCGGCCGATCCGGTGGACGCGGAGCCGTCCCGGGCGGCCCTGTACGACCCCAAGACCAACTACACTTCGCCGCGGCCGCGGTTCCTCCACTACAAGCCCAACCCGCGCGTCGACATCTACGGGCACAGCCGCGCTGGCGTCAGGCGCCTCGAGGACGGCTTCGCCTCCGCCTCCGCCTCCGCCTCCGAGAGCAGCGACGAAACCGACGCCACTGCCACCACGGAGGACGACCTCACGGAGGAGGAGCAAGAGCAAGCACAGCAGAATCACCTGCCAGGGGAGCAGCCAGCTCTCGCCGCTCCATCTGAGGCCGCCGAGGCTCGCGTCCTGGCGCCAGAGCCCGCGCCGGGTTCGCCGCCGCCTCCTCTGCTGCTGTCATCATCGGCTCCAGCTGCGGTGACTCCCGAGCCGGCTCGCGTCTCTGCACCGGAGCCGAGGGCGACTCCTCCGCGAGCTCGTGCACTGACGCCGGAGCCGAAGCCTGGGATGCGAGCTCCAGCGAAGAAGAGGTCCTCGTTGAGGTTCCTGCTTCCCGTCGCTTTCGTTCTGTTCATGTCTGCTGCTTCCGTGTGCGTGCTGCTGCAACCAGATTCTCCGATCATGTCAAACACCGCCTTGTCGAGGGCGGCGTCCAGCTTTCTTTCAGTTCAAGAATCACACCCTGTGGAGTTGGCTGCTTGGCTCAAGCAATGGTCAAGCAGTTCCTTGGATTCGATCACGTCTTACTGGGAGGCCTTGGCCTCCACATCCACACAAGAGCAGGAGTACTTTGGTCCGCACTTCGCAGCCAACTGGAGTGCTGCAGCTGCCGATGCTGACAACCATGGCGCTGCCGCCGATTTCTACTACAGCTTCGCCGAGGCATGGCCAGTGCCACCAAGTGAAGAGCCTATTAGCAGCGCCAACGCCCTGACTGCAGAGCCGGAAGGTGATGTTGTGGTGGAAGAAGAAGAATCAGTTGATGATGCTGGAGTGGGAGAGAAATCTGATGCATCAGACTACTACGACATGGTGGTAGATGAGCTTGATGTGGGAATGTCAGAAGAAGCTCCAGGTAGCAGCTATGATGTCCTGGAGGAGCAGTTGAAGATCCAGGATGCAGTTTCTGAAGCAAGCAGTGCTAACTTGATTGCAGAATCAGAGGGTGTTGCTGCAGTGGTAGAAGAAGAATCTGATGCATCAGACTACTCCAAGCTTGATGTTGGAGCATCAGAAGCAACTCCAGGTAGCAGCAACGGCGAAGAGATCAGTCAGGATTTGGACACCCCGTCTGAACCTGCTGAGCTGCGCGAACAGGATGTTGAGAGTGAAGAGCCCGACGAGAACCACGGCAGTGGCAAGGAGGAGGGCCAGGAGCCGCATCTTGGTCTTGAGTCGGACTCCAACCTGTCGCCAAGCTACTTGGACAGAATCTCAAAGCCCGCCGCAGCAGCAGGTGTTGCCATTGTCGTGGTCATTCTTTCAGCAGGCATAGCCGCCCTCTCCATGAGGAAGAAGCAAGCTCAGGTTGCCACAAGTGCCAATGCACCGGATGAGCAGGAGCAGGCCGAGGAAGCTGAGACTCGATCTGGTTCAGCGAGCAGTGAGGGCCATCGTCTTGCCAAAGGTTCAGTGGCAGAAGAAACCGAGCGATTCGGTGACTCTGGCTTCTCTCAGTACAGCAGCAGCTTGTCGTCTGGCCATGGCCAAGGCAGGGGGAAGGCCAAGGAGGAGGAAGAGAACGTCGGCCTCGAGCCCGCGTCCAAGAGGGAGTCCATGTCATACTCCACTTCATCCTATGGCAGCTTCACGACCTACGAGAAGATCGCTGCCAAGAAAGTAAGCTTCGATTCTTCTTGTCCATGTTATCTTCTCTGGTCAGTCAATTTCAAATGTGATGTATGCGTGTAACTTACAGGTTGTGAGCTTGTTTTTGCAGAGGAACAAGGATGATGAGGCGATGACACCGGTCCGACGCTCCAGCAGGCTGCGGAGTGTCAAGTCACCCGAGGCCGAGTCTAGTTAGTTAGTGCTCTGACTAACTACCATTCAGGGCACCTAACTCGTCGTAGCTGCTGCTTGCCCAGTTCCACGCACCTTGTTAGACAGACACAGCTTTCTGCTGTCATTTTCTGCAAAATTGATTGGTAACTAGTAGTAGGATTTATGTTTGTGGTTTGAGATTGCTTAGATCTGCATAAGTGATTGTGGACAATTCCCTTGTATTGCTTCTCTGATTGAGATGAATATTCTTATCAAACTCTGCTGGTGTTGTGTTTCATACTGAGAGTTGATCCCAATACATTAGAACTATTTTTTAATGGTTGTGCTTCAAGTGTAATGCTGTGTGGACAAGGCATCATCTGTTGCTTTGTGACTTTGTTTAGCCCTTCTATATTCATATTACTCCCTCTGAGTATTAGTTTACCGAGGGAGTTTTCTTAATATGCCGAAAGTATGTAACCTTTTCACACGAAGGATGCGAGATTTTGAAGAATTCCTTCCTGTCATGAAACATACGAACAAAGTAAAATGTTAATCTAGACAAAACAGCTGATTTAGCGTTGTCAGGTGGGCACGTTTGTCACCTATCTCCATAGTAGTTTGGACTTGACATCAAAACTGTATGTGTGCATCTTGTATTTCTCGTTTGCAAAATACGCAATACTGTGATTTTCAAGCATATACTCCCTCCGTTCCCAAATACTTTCTAGTCATTTCAAATGGACTCAACATACGGATGTATGTAGACATATTTTAAAGTGTAGATTCACTCATTTTGCGCCGTATGTAGTCACTTGTTGAAATCTCTACAAAGACAAGTATTTAGGAACGGAGGGAGTAGAATCTCTCCTCTATTTGCCTCACTTTCAGAGGATTTTAACGCTTTCGAACTGTGCATCAGCAAAGTTTCTAACATGGGTAATAAAGAAATGACTATTGCATTGTTTGAAGCTTCTATAAGAACCAGGCAGCGAATCAATGAACCGGCGGTCTTATCGATAAAAACCCACGACAACCTTACCGGTTTGGTCACCGGTCCAATCTTTAAAATATACTCGATAGTACAATGGAAAGACAACAAGACACAAGACGACTGTCAAAAACTAAAATTGCATGGAAAGACAACAAGACACAACAAGACACAAGACAACAAGTCTGTAAGAGCTTGAAAAATACACCAAAATGCATTGAACCAACGGTAAGGGGGACGGACACATGCAAATGCCCTCCTCATATATCAGGCTTTGAAGACCGCAATAGCCACTCGTCGTTGAGGCATCACTCCACACGGCACATACTTGAAATCCTTCATAACCAGTCCAAAGGCTTGGAGAAACTGGGATATGCCACAAAACAACCATCACCATCACCGTCGTCACCTCGTCGTTGCCGCCGGAGAAACGAAAACGTAAGGGAAACAAGAATATACTTGACCTAAAAAAATGAAAGGTACGGGTCCCCACTCCTCTGGCAGCCGCCGAACAGCCGGGCAGGAAAGAGATTCCAAAGCCCCCTGCTTGCAAATTGTCGAGATTCACATACTTCGTTGCATGTTGGTAGCACTTGTTTAAAAATGATTGTACACGAAATGGTGTATCACCTACAAACAACATGTCGACTATGAAATGATAGAGCGTCCAACCCCTGATGTCTGAACCTTTTTTTTATCGCACACCAATCTTTTACTCCCTCCGAATGCTCTTATATTATGGGAAGGAGGGAGTATTTTTTTTTTACAATCATTATCACGCACCAATCACTAGCAAAAGAAGTGATAAAAAAGAACTCATGAAAAAAGGACAATTTGCTTTGGGAAAAGCGGGTAGCAATCAGAGGCGGGAAAAAAAACTCAAACGGCCGGCCGTCCCCACATGCCAGGGACAGCCCGCCCAATCCGTCTTCCACTTGCCAGGTGGGAGTGGGACCCACCTGTCATTGGCGCCACCACCCTGCGCAGAGCCACACTATACTTCGTCGCAGGAAGGAGTCCGCCCCTCGCATCGTCCGCCCACCACCATCGCCGCCGCCGCCGCCTCGGAAACCCTAGGCCCGATGGCCACCTCCGCCGCCGCCAGCTCGTTCCCCTCCTACCTCTCCCCGCCCCCCGCCTCCCGCCGCAGCGGGGCCCGTCCGGCCCTGGCGGCGGCGGCGGCGGAGGGGGTGATGGACGTGGTGTCGGAGGCGGAGCTGAGGGAGAAGGGGTTCATGGGCATGCGGAAGACGAAGCTCGTGTGCACGGTGGGCCCGGCGTGCGTGGACGCGCTGCCGGCGCTGGCGCGCGGCGGGATGGGCGTGGCGCGGGTCAACCTCTGCCACGGCGGCCGCGACTGGCACCGCGCCGCCATGCGCGAGGTGCGGAGGCTCAACGACGAGGAGGGCTTCTGCGTCTCCCTCATGGTCGACACCGAGGGCTCCCAGCTCCTCGTCGCCGACCACGGCGGCGCCGCCTCCGTCAAGGCCGAGGTATGCCGTGCCGGGCATGCTGTTTTCTGCAGCTGCGTCAGTCAGATTCAGGCGCTACGCATGGGTGTGCTCGTGCCGTGGTTTTTACTTTGTTGTGCTGTGTTTGACTTTTGCGCTGCTGTGGAGTAATCTGATCAGGGATCGTGCAGTGACCAGAAGTAAAAAATTATACTCGATCTAGGAGAAGGTCATATTAATCTCTAGTCTTGTCTGGGGAATTGGGACTCAGTTTTAGACAGCACCACTAAGCTACTGACAATATTCTGCGACAGCATCACTAGATTCTCGAAATTTGATTATGGTACTCCCTCCGGTCCTTTTTACTCTGCATATTAGGTTTGACCGAAGTCAATCTCATTCAACTTTGACCAAGTTTATACAAAAAATTATAGACATTCACATAACAACACCAATATCATTAGATTCATCTTAGAATATATTTTCATATTATATTTATTACATATTATAGATGCTAATAATTTCTAATATAAATTTGGTCAAACTTAGCAAAGTTTGACTTTCAGCAAATCCAATGTGCAGAGTAAAAAGGACCGGAGGGAGTAATAAGGAAGTTTGTTTCGCTCACTAAGTGGTAACTGCACATGATGACTAATAAGAGAAACAAACTGTAATGAGATTTTTTTTTGGAGAAAGTCATATTAATCTCTAGTTTTGTCTGGGGAATTGGGACTCAGTTTGGTAGATAGCATCACTAAGCCACCGACAATATTCTGCGACAACATCACCAGATTCTTGAAATGTGATTATGGTAATAAGGAAGTTTGTTTCGCTCACTAAGTGGTAAGTGCACATGATGACTAATAAGAGAAACAAACTGTAATGAGTTCCATAAGAAACTGTACCGAGAAACAAATTTGCATCCATCAGATTCGGGCGCTACATATGGGTGTGCTGGTTTCGTGGTTTGTACTGTGTTTGACTTTCTGCTGTGGGGTAGTCTGATCACAGATCATGCAGTAACCAGAACTCCAGAAGTAAAAGGTTCTACTCGATCTACGAGAAATCGGGGCTCAGTTTGGTAGACAATATCGCTAAGCCACAGACAATATTCTGCGATAACCGAGCCGTAATTTTCTTTTTGTGTAACAACAACTCATTGTGTCGCCAAACACATTGGCAGTAACTATCATGTTGTGAAAATAGAGTCCAAGATCAAACAATTGATATTCAGTATACAGGCACTATGTCTATGCTTGCTGATCTTCTCACTAAAGGCTACCAGCATGTCTCTTTTGAACACATATTGCTGGCATGTGCCTAGTGGGAATCCTATAATTATTGGTCATTGGACAGTCATGATAACGAGATTCTCAAAATTCGATTATGGAAATAAGAAAGTTTGTTTCCCTCATCAATTGCACAGGATGACTAATAATAAAAGAAACAAACTGTAATGAGGGCCATAAGAAGGTAGTATGGCTATACAGTATACACACATAAAACCCCTAAATACCATAAGGTAGTTCGGCCATAATCTACTCACATCAATATGAATTAACCTGAGTTTGGCGAAGCCATCTTTCTAGTCAATGTAGTAGAAGAAGATGAGCCGATCACGAACCTGGTGAGTTTGCTGACAGTGTGGCTATTTCAAGTCAATGGAAAGCACTCTCCAGATTGGTTTGGAGTGATGCAAGATTGGGAGCACTTGTAACCTTGATTAATTTTGTGGTTTCAAGTCCAGGGCCACCTATTCCATGCTCATTAATTAATTAGTTAATCCCCAATGACATTTTTAATCTCACAATTACTTATGCTACCTTTTAGGTCATAGTTAACTTAGTCATTTGATTAAATTATCATCTAACAGTGGGATCCCGACATCCCGTGCCACTGTGACAATATGTGATTTGATTAGATTGACAGCATTTTGTTAGGATGATCATTAGTTGGGTGCTAGCCTTCAAAATAATTAATTGGGTGTTTCTGGGTGAAGAGATCCTTTTTGTGGTTGGTTACCTTTGCTGGCTGTTGTACACACATATGCTTAATATATGTTTCGCTTATTTAATGTATAACTTGATTAGTTTATAGAACTTTATGATTTGATAGTGGCCCCTCTCCTTTTATGATAAACAAAAATAGTAGTCGTTTCGGTGCCTGCATGTTATCGGGAAACAGGAGTATCAATCAGTTTTGCTAGTCATACATTGAACAGCACACTATTTTCATGCTAGCTTAGATTGAGTGGGTGTTTTACTATAAGTTGGACTGTTTGATTCTGAGCTCCTGGTGAAAAAAAGTGAATTGTACAGTTGTCCTGGATGACAGGCCAGTCTGAGGGTTTGACATCACCTGTGATCTATAATTATATTTATACTTAAATTTTCAGTAGAAGGTACAATTGTATTATTTCCCAAAGCATCGATCTGCATTGTAAGAAAGAAAGAGAACGTTGTGTTTTCTCAACATATGTTTTAGTCCTCAATGCCTTGTCTTTCAGTGAAGATGGAAATCCTGATATCTTTTCTTTCTTTGATGGTGCCGCAGGATTGCTCTGAATGGTTATTTACCAGTAAAAAAACCGATAAAGTTTGC